TTAATTATAAAATAAATGTTATAAAAGCCCATTTGCTGCTCCGGAGCTGCCTTAGCTCCAGCAAAAGGCCTGGTGGTGGTGGGGAAGGCAGAAGAGTGCATGTTACCACATTTGACCAAAGCAAATAGCCACGGGTTTGACTGAACTGGGGAAATGAGCATCTTCAGGAGAAGGGCTGCACTTACATGTGTATTTTGTGGGGGTTTGCTGTTTGTAAAGAGAGGTGTTATCTATGTTTAACTGCAATCTAATGCACGCCTGAAGTCTTGAAAGCCTGTTGTGTAGTTCATAGCAGTTAAATTTGTATCGGGTGATGCCTGAAGGAGCTGATCTTGCAGTCACGGGGTGTTTGGGTTTTCCAGTAAGTTAAGTAGTTGCAAGTCTGGTTCTCAGAATGGTAGAAGTTGGAGTACAAGTCTAGATAGAGGCCTAAGTCTGTCAGCATGAGACACTCAGAAATGTGTTATTTTAATGCTTCTTAATGTGCTTGTTACCTTCTTGTCACATGGAAGGGGCAGTGGGAGGGGATATTGAAAATGTAAGGTGTGCAATTTAGAAACAGGATTTAAATGTGTAATTGGCATAAGTCTTTGGTTTCTAATTTGTGTTCTTCTAGCCATACTCTTTCCTGTCTTTCCTGTCTTTCCTGTCTTTCCTGTCTTTCCTGTCTGTCTTTTTCTTTTTTAAATTTCCTGGACAAAATAAAGGCAGACATCCTGAAGTACCAGCAAGCTTGGAGAAGAAGGCCACAGGGAAAATCAGCAGTGTCTCAGCAGGGCTACTGGCCTTGCTGTGGCTCAGGAAGTCCCATGTCCTTGAGTAATCTCGTGGCTGGGGTATTAGTGCCATTGAGCCTCAGGCAACTGAGTGTGTTAGACTCCCAGGTGGTGCTCTGCGCAAGCTGTGTACGCCAGTCTGTCTTGGTAACCGAAATGTAGGAACCTTGTTTTAATTGTAATACAGTGAGTGAATTTGAAGGAAATTGGGAAAGGAAGTCTTGTCAGAAAGGTTATTTGCTGTTTGTATACAGTGTGATATGTAAGCAGATTCAGTGTTCTCGTTTTGAGTTTTAATAGGAATGATGAATGGAAACAGTGATCATAGGTTCTTAGGCCTCTTTATCTAAATTAGCACAGATTAATATTTCTTTCTGATATTGGCAATATTCTAGACTGAAAATAGCTCCATCTGGGGACCTGTTACTGTAGGATAGTTTCCCAGAGCAAACTGGTCAATCTCTGTGTAGACGAACTGTTAGGAGAATGTTTTTGAGGCAGATCTCTAACCGTCCTCTACCCAGCATCTATGTGTCTCTGATTTTGTGAATATAACTCACTCTTTGTAATCTGCATCATGTCCACTCCTTAGCTGTCAGCACTGCATACAACATGACTTGCATTCACAAGTCTGAAGTCCTTACGTCCTGTTGCTGCAGATGTGCACCTCAGCAGCCTTACGAACTTGTGTACTCCCAGTGTTGCGGCCTCTGGGTCAGAGAATCTGTTGCTGGGGGTGGCTGGCCACTGGAGCTCTCCTGCTCAGGCTCTTAAGAAGCCATGGGGTAGTTACTCCAGCTGTGAAGCTGTGCTTATCATTCTGTGTGTGTCTCTTTCTCAACAGGCGCTTTGATTACCGTCCAAACCCTGATCCTTACTGCCAGGCTCGTTATACCTTCTGTCCCACTGGCTCTGCCATTCCGGTTATGAAAGAAGAGGATGTCATTGAGGTGTATCGATTACAGGCCCCAGTGTGGGAATTCAAATATGGAGACCTACTGGGACATTTGGTACGGTGATGTTTTTGTTTAACAAAGTTATAGTGGCAAATTCAGCTGAATTCAACAGCAGGTGTCGAGAATGGGAGCTGTAAGATTGGAATCTGCTTGCATGGAAGAGGATTGGAGCCCACAAGCTTGGGTTTCTATAGGAAAGATACCCAAAGAGCAATAACTTTCAAACAAAAGGTACAGAATTTAGCTCAGCTAAAGAAAAGAGCATAACCGGCACTGTCAGGGCATGTGAATGTCTTCCTCCACGGAGCTGGACATTGGGAGTGTTTGCATTCACACACCATTACGTTTTGTGGGAGTTTTTTCTGTGCCAGCACTGCATCAAGAAAACACATTTCATTGTCCCCTTATATGAGATGAAATGCTTGCTTAATGTATAAACTTTTCTATTGTTAAAAACTTACTTATTTGCATGAACATGGATATCTGTCAGGAATGGACAGCTAGCTGGTCAGAATGGTGGATCACGGGGAGTTGGTTGCTTTTACAGTTCTTTCTTGAATGTAATGATCAGTATTGAATTAAAGGCTTCATTCATAGGGTCATACAAATATGAAAGAATCTCAGCTTTAGTGATATTTATGGCTACAGCAGTAGTATAATTAAGTTTCAAAGCATGATCCCTAATTAAAGAAATACTAATGAACATGAAATAGCAACATCAAAACCAAGCACACAGAGTCAAAAATAGAAATAGCTTCAAAAATTGTTACCTCAGTTGTTAAAACTAAGGTTGAATTTATGTATTTACTATACAGCTTTTAAAAGAAATATTGATCTCATTCCTTTTGTGGTTTTCATTACTAAGGTCTAGCTTTGGTAACTCAGTTCTGCTCTTAATTTCTTTGATTCCCCTGTGAGGTTAAGGATTCAAAAGTACCCTTGGGTTTTGATGATGAGCTCCCACTGGGTATCTGCCTCCAAGTAACAGAATTGACAATGGATGGTTAGACCACCACTGAGACAGCGTGACTGTGATAAAAGTATGTGTGTGGTACGGTCTAGTTATGTTGTGCATCAATGCCAGATCCAAGGTGTTATAGGAACCCCTTCTCCTCTTCTCACCCTCTTACACAACAGCTCCCAAGCGTCTTATCTTCTGTGTAGATCAAGCTGAAGTCATTTTTAGGTTAAAGTTTGGGGGGGGGTTGGTTGTTACTGTTTTTTCTTTTCCAGAAAATTATGCATGATGCTGTGGGTTTCAAGAGCTCTCTAACGGGCAAAAACTACACCATGGAGTGGTACGAGCTCTTCCAACTTGGGAACTGCACATTTCCGCATCTCCGGCCTGGCATGGATGCACCATTCTGGTGTAACCAGGGAGCTGCCTGCTTTTATGAAGGAATAGATGATGCACACTGGAAGGAAAATGGAACTTTAGTTCTCGTGACCACAATATCAGGTAGATTTCAGATGCTTTGAATGGTGCTAATACCATAAAATATAGAGTCAGCCCTGTCTTCACATAAAGCAGTATCTTTTGATTTATGTTTTGCCGGTTATTTGCAATGTTAATCACTGATACTAATTTCAAACTGAAATACTTTCTCTGCCCTTCCTTTAATACAGAAAGCAGCATGAGACTGCTGCCCTTTGAACAATACACACTGAAGAGTTGCTAAATGAGTCATTTGGTGTTGCTATACAGAAACGCTTGAGTCTCTTGATTGTAAAAATAGCAAAAACAGCTTATACAGAGCCATTATGGACTCTTCACATGGCTTCACCAAAACAAGACCTTCTATTGTGAAGTGGCAGATGACTGCTGAGATAGAACTGGTGAAAATATGTACATTACTGAGCAAACAAATAAGGCATATTTAGAAATAGTCTCGAAAATATAAAAAATTGTTAATCTCTATTTCTGTCTCTCCCATTATGTGTCATAAAAACTGTGCAAATGTCCCCAGTAATAGGTCTCTGTCATACATTGTAGAACAAAACCAGGATTTACATCTCTAAATACGTGGATGATCACCAGAATAGCTTCCTGGTATGCACTGAACACTGAAATCCTAAAATAAAAAGGTCATTTAAATAAATCTGATTCATTACTGTAGTAATACAGTGAATGACTTACGAACAAAGTCTGCTGAGGATTTGGAGAGTTGCATTTTGTGTAACCAAAACCACTTTCTCTCCGAAGTTAGCATAGCGTACCAGGCAAAGTGGAGAGTTGGATTACAGCTGGTGTGATGTGGTGCTTTGTGTTTGCCCCCTTGAGCAGCTTGCTTGTTTCCACCTTGAGCAGCTTTGCTGGACTCAGTCTCTGGATAATCTATCCAGTGCTGCTAAGAAATTCTTGGCTGTTCTTTAAGCAATGAAATAAGCAGAGCTGCTTTCCTGTGGGCATGACTGAAGTCTTTCATGCCCGATATAGTTGGATTCTTTTGTATGAGTACCAAGTTAAATGTTTTTATACAATTGTAGAACTTGCAATGCTTCCTGCCTGTGTGGAGTATTTGATGCAAAAGAAGGGTGAAGTTACGCTGATGCCATATGGGGGCATTGTTACTGTCTTCCTGTCTCTCTCGCTTTGTATTCCCATGAAACTTTTAGGAAGGTAACATCTCTAGAGTTTGAATTGTCATATTTGATGCAGAAGAAGGGTGAAGTTACGCTGGTGCCATGTGGGGGCATTGTTGCTGTCTTCCTGTCTCTCTTTCTATTCCCATGAAACTTTCAGGAAGGTAACATCTCTAGAGTTTGAATTGTCTGAAGTTGACTAGGAATCTGAAAGTTACCGTGGAAGAGGGTGAATGATGTCCAGCAAACTGAAGTTTCTTCCTTCAGAGAGCAAGCAAAAAGCACCCCGTCTCGTGGGAGAGGGCTTTAACATATGAAACAGCTGGACACTTTTTGCCCTTGGAAGATCCTCCAGAGCTGTTTGTCAGCAGTGTCAGAGACCACATTGAAGCATTCTCATTTTCTTTTAAAGCCTGTTGGCCAGGTTAAGGTTACTTTGGGCTATGTTTCTTTTGTGGAAATAGGGCAGGAATATCCAAAGTCTGATTTTTGACTGTCTAGGCATCTTCCAACAGATTATCATGGAGCCATGCATTAATCTTTAATGGGTTTGTTTAATATAAAATGTTAAGGCCAGAACTTCATATTAAGTCCATCTCAGTCTTGTTAGGAGAGGCAAATCCTTTTCAATAACAAACCTTGCAGAATACACATTAGGAAGCTAATCTGGGAGGAATTAGAGAAGATAAAGGGGAGCTTCAAGCCCATCTACAGTGTATAGTAGGTACAGTTCTTGATACAGATTTAATGACTTGCTGTTTTATTAAACCAAGTTATAGGTAATTAAAAAAGTATTCAACACTTTCACTAAACAGAATGATGGCTATGTTTACTGTGAATCCCAAAAGCTCTTAAGTGTGGAGTGAAGAACAGTTAGTAAAGGGGTAGCCTACGAGGTGAATGTGCAGGGCTTTAGTTACTCTGAGGTAGTAGCTTGCACACATGCCTTACCTTAAAGTAAACATGAGATGTGTTTACTCTCTGATGAAGAGTAGACCCAGCAGTCTGGCCTTTGCAGCTTGTTTTGGGGGAAGATGTGTGGCATGCAGTGCCCTGCATTGGCCTGGATGAATACAGAGTTAATGCAAGAGGCTGGTTGTTGAGTGCAGGGTGGTGTTAGTGACACAGCTCTGTCTGGTGTCTGCCACGTTGCGAGGTAACTGTTGCCAGTCTTTCAGCTTGCAGCAGTCTTGCCTGTCTTTCAGCAGCTACCAAGCACAGTTACTGTACCCACAGCAGTGACACTTGCAGCTAAAGAGAGATCGTGCCTTGGAACACTGTCACGATGGTGAACTGTCATCTGTCTGTGCCTTCTGACGTATCGCACAAGAAGAATCTGCAAAATTTGGTCATGCTATGAACGTGAGGTGCTAGATGGATCTGAGTCGTAGATGGTTGTACCCTGTGCCATGACTGCGGAAAGAGGGCAGGAAGGGCTAGGCTAGGGTGCGCTGCTAGGACTATGGGAAGAACAAATGAAGGAAGATCAGTCCTGTGCTTCAGCTCTGTTTTGAGAAGGCAGCAGCATCACATGTAACTAACAAGCTACCAGAGGGCTGAGCTGAGTTAGAGGTACCTTCCTCATTCTAGTTGTGAAATCAGCAAAACACTCCAAACATGTATTCTAAATAAATAAATAAATAAAACCATGAGGTCTTTAAGTTTACTGGTCTTCACATCCCACTCGTATCGTTTGGCTTAGTTCAGCTTTGCTGGATGAGGAGCTGCTAAAGCAGCAGGGTGTCTCAGTCTAAGGTTTCTTTTGTGGAGAGACATGAAAAATTCTTCCCAGAATTGCTGAATTTAGTTAAAACTTGAGGAAGTGCAGAAACGCCTGTTGTACTGGTGAGCACTTTGTCAGCATCTGTTGTAGATTGTACTACCTGCCCTGTTTGTCTGCATGGATAAAACAAAATGAGAAGTGTCATGGTTCTCTGATGTTTGGGTGGTCTGGCATAGTAGCAGGAAATAGGGCAGAAGAAGGAATTACAGTTTAGATAACTTACACATAAATATGCTTTATTCAGTGGGGTATCACTGCCCCCTCCAGCATAAGCATTGTGTCTTTGTACGGTTAGATAATGTTGTAGATAAACTTTTCCAGGGAAGGGCGGAGAATCTTGAAATAGATGGAAAATATTTTGAGTCATGTATTTGTTACCTTGTCTCTGTAATACTTATTTTCGTCTCTTACAGGAACCATGTTTAATGAAATGGCAAAATGGGTAAAATACGACAATGAGACTGGCATTTACTATGAGACCTGGACAGTTCAAGCAAGTCCCAACAAACAGTCAATAGTATGGTTTGACTCTTATGAATGCTCTAAATTTATACAGAGAACGTACCAGAAGCTAGCTGACTTGGGAGCTGTATTTAAGAAGATACAAACAAACTATACGAGCATAATTTTATTCAGTGGAGAACCTATTTATTTGGGAAATGAAACATCTATTTTTGGACCACTAGGAAACAAGACATTGGCAACAGCTATAAGAGACTTCTACTCTCCATTCAAACCTCATCGGACAGTCAGAGAGTTTTTTGTGGATCTTTTAAAAATAATTGATCGTGTCATCTTGAATCATCAGTTTTACCTGTTCTACAACTTGGAATACTGGTTTTTACCTATGAAGTTTCCTTATGTCAAAATAGTTTATGAAGAGGTCCCTTTACCTATTGGAAGCAAAGCATCCTTTGGTGTGTGATTGCTTACTGCAGAACTGAACTTGCGCTTATGTCAGAATATCCTTCAGGATTTTGGAGCGCTACCATGATGGTATTGAAGTGCTGTATGTTTCACTGCTAAGTGTAAAAGCTGCATTGGGAAGGCTTTGCTAGACCAATGAAACATGATGCCTTTTTTCTTATTACCTGTACAACACGTTCATGAATGCTTCAGCATCTCTGACTTGGCCAGCTCCTGTGTAGCCATGGACCCCTGCTGTCTGAAGGGGGGCTGATGTGGCTCCTCTTGGCTAAACTCTGCAGTGCCAAAGGGTGAATGGGAGGCAGAGGCAGCCCAGCTGCTCTGGTCTCAGGCGCTCTGCACGTACATGGCCATGTGGCGACAGATAGCACCTGGCCACCAGCAGAGATGGGACACAAGCATTACAAGCACCTTCTGATCTGACTAACTCAGCTAATCCGTGTGTTGGAGCTAAACAAACCTGAGTGCCTAGACGTGCCCAATTCCCTCAACATGATCCTTCTGTATTTCTTTGGTTTGTACAGCTGGGATCTATGAACTGCTCTCTGGTTCACAACAGAGGTGTTCAAAAAATGGGAAGGGGCAGTGAATCAGAAGACAGAATCATAGAATCATTAGGTTGGAAGAGACCTCCAAGATCATCAAATCCAACCGTCAACCCAACACCACCATGCCCACTAAGTGCTACATCAACGTGTTTTTTGAACACCTTCAGGGATGGTGACTCCACCACTTCCCTTGGCAGCTTCTTCCAATATTTGACCACTCTTTCAGTAAAGAAATTTTTCATGTCAAATACAAACTTCCCCTGGCATAACTTGAGGCCGTTTCCTTTTGTCCTGTCGCTTGTTACTTGGGAGAAGAGACCAACGCCCACCTCACTACAACCTCCTTTCAGGTAGTTGTACAGAACGATAAGATCTCCCCTCAGCCTCCTCCAGGTTAAACAACCTCAGTTCCCTCAGACGCTCCTCGTAAGACCTGTTCTCCAGGCCCTTCACCAGCTTTGTTGCCCTTCTCTGGACATGCTCCAGCACCTCAATATCTGTCTTGTAGTGAGGGGCCCAAAGCTGCACATGGTATTTGAGGTGCAGCCTCACCAGTGCTGAGTGTAAGGGCACAATCACTTCCCTATGCCTGCTGGCCACACTAT